AGAGAGTGTTATAGCTGACAATATTTTACTTGGAGAACTTCATAATCAGGTGAACAATTTTGATGTACAGTGGCTGTACCTTCTTCAGCAGAACAAACTCATTCTCAGCAGCTGCGCGCTTGTTGATTTCATCCTCGTACCTGTCACAGCACAAGACAGCCTGTAAGAACATTGCCTTTCATCATGATGCTGTTGCTGTTCGACTTATTATTCCAGTACTCACTTCCTCTTGAAGTCTTCAACCAGACCCTGCATGTTCCTCAGTTCACTATCCAGTTTGACTTTCTCGTTGCCCAGCCCATCGAGCTGTCTGCGAAGGTTAGCAATGTAAGCCTCAAACATGCCATCGATGTTGGAGCGCGTGACGGTCTGGTCCTGCAGGAGGCTCCATTTGGTCTCCAGCATCTTGTTCTGTTGCTCCAAGAAACGAACCTGTGCAGAAACAGTTTCAGTCACATGCTGCTCTTAAAATCCAGCCCTATAATTTGTTATTCAAGAAAATAAAAAAATGTGGAAACATTTTGGGGTTTTTTTACTGTACAAAGGAATTTAAAGGGTGTGGTTGGTCATTTGTGGCTTCAGAATGCCTCACCCTTATCTGCATGACTGGAGAGATAACTGCATATCTGAATTGCCACACCCAATCTTAACAATACTCAGTATGACATTTCTTGCTGTACAAAGCTCGAACTGATCTAAGTTTGCAGATCTTTGGACACATATTCATTTCTTTATCCTTCATATTTTAAGGAAAACTAGTAAAACAGGTGGGGAGCGGGATGAGGAGAGAGAAGGGCCCAACCTCAAGCCACTGAGAACCTGACAGGTTTAATATGCAAAATTTGAGGTACTGCACTAAAACCAATGAACACTGGTGACAACACTGATAGTGAAAAAGTATTGTTTCATTAATGTTGAATTGACAACTAGGTTAGACCACTTGTCGAAAGAGCGGATGCATACAGCGATTAGAAAGCTGACTAAGGTTTGGGTGTAGTCAATATTGTACACAATTTAAGTCATTTCATATTTTTTTTCTTATGAACAGAACAGGCAGTATCGAAATTTTGTCGATTGATGGAAATGATCCTGCATGTTTCCATCTTTGTCTGTTGAAGGAGCACAGGTACATCCTTTATTAATCGGAGTTACTGATAAATTGTGGGCTGAAGGGAAGTATGATGTGGATCTGGTGAGAACAGCAGAGCCAGTGGTCATAATCCCTAAATCTGACTAGACCATGCCAGAGTTTTCAGTCACAGGTGAATACTGCTCTTCTATAGTCAGTGGTCGGCATAGTCCATTCAATCAAGCAAGGTTACCGGGAGATAATAAAGGTCCTGAGAACAAACAGGTGGAACCAGAAAAAGTGGCTACGACCATACCAAGTCCTCCATCAGCCACCACAGGAAGGTGCACAGCTAACAGACTACGCTATTCAAGATTATGAAGAAGTGCGAACGCTTGTAGAGCTAAAGCATGAGATAGTTGTAAATAGGGGGAAGAACCTACCTTGTCGATGAAGGAGGCGAAGCGGTTGTTGAGACCCTTGATCTGCTCCTTCTCCTGGGTGCGGATAGTCTGGATTGTGGGGTCAATCGCCAGGTTCAGAGGAGCCAGCAGGCTCTGGTTGACCTGGACAGCTGTGATGGGTGCTGTGATGAAACCACCAGCCTGGCCAGCACCAAAGCCACCACCCATACCAGAACCAGCACTGAATCCGTAGCTGACACTGCCTGCTGAGCCACCCATTCCAGATCCAACACCATAGCTGGTTCTTCTGACGCTGTAGCTGGAGACTGGAGCCGTTGACCTCCTGCTGGAGGAGCTGTAGCCAGATACGGAGTATGACTTCATTGCATTCATTTTGGCTGAGGTGGGTTGCTGACTCTTGAGTAGAGGAGAGCAGAAGATGAGCAACTTCAAAAGGAGAGCTGATTCCCTCTGAGTGTCTAACTTCAGAGTCCTGCCTGCTTTTATGCTCGAGCCGAGTCAGAGGGAGGGACCTTCTCAGCCCCTTCAACCTGTACTCTCACTACTGCTGTCCAGCCTCGCCTGCACGCCCCCAGGGGTTTGAATGACAGGAGTAGCCAGTAGAACAGGTAAGGAGGGATTGTCAGCAGATAAGTGAAGACACACCCTGCAGCCAGACAGGCTCAGGAAGAAGGGAGAGTTGTAAATGAAGTGTGATATGCCACAAGCTACAAATGCCATTAGGCCATCAATGTACAACTGCATAGTAATACCTCAGTTTAAGACTCTGCCTGTCATCTGTCAATGATGTTTACTCATAGTTATTATAAAATATACCATCCTTTTAAATTACAGTGGGTAGAATGTGAATGAAAGTTTGACCTATGCTGTTTCAAGGAGTGGAGTGTTTGGTCGTGTTGTAAAAGTCATACACTGTTAATGATTGTTACAATAGTGTACAGCAGATAAGAACATTATCACTCAGGAGTAAGGGATTGCAGGTGAACCTCCCATCTATTCAGGCTGTGTATCTTCACTGGTTTCATACTTCAAATTGATTATTGTTGTCATCTTAAAGGCATGAATCTATCACACATTGTGTGCAAAAGTTGTTTTTCATAAAAACAGGTTAGACTGTCTATATTTGTCTATGGGTTCTGCTTTGTATTAGTGTTTTGTTTTGTTTTTTGGTTTTTGGTTTTTTGCCTGAGGATAAAACAAACAGATGGCAAGTTATGGTAGACACAGTTGTGTCATCGGCATATAATCGTCGCCGGGGTTTTGATGCCCTAAAAATAATTTAATGTTCAAGGCATTGACAAACTGTAGGTTCACTTAAAATAATATATTTTACATTGTGCCGCAACCATACAAAGGCATTTGACAGTGGAGTGTACTTCTTAGAGTAGTTCACATCAACTGAAATGAATGGGTTATCAAAGTAATTGAGACTGTCGAACAAATAAAAAAAATCTATTTTCTTTTTTAAATGAGCAAATTAAAATGATAATTCTCACTAAACAAACAATTTAATTTATCATGTTCTGCAAATTGTTCTTCCATATAGCCTATGTTTGTACCTGCAGCAGGATTAAGTCTTCCTCTCAAGAAAACATGCATTACTTGTTGTGTGCATAGTAACCCAACTGGTTTGGCGGAACAAGACTGTCTCTAGCTTCAACATTTGGTATGTGCTTACTTATAATGATAACTCAGACCAAAATAAATGCTCTGAAGCTAAGAAAAAAAAAAATGAAATCCAAAAGCACTGCCAGTCCCCTGACCCGCAAGGCAGGGAAGAACAAGCGATTCACAGTGAACCTGACAGGTTTAATGTACAATCAGAAATGCATCATTGGGATGGATGTCTAAGCACAAAGGCATGCGTTTGACAGGTTTGCAATTCCTTCTATGCATTTTTAGACCCTCCCTTCTTTCTGATGAGGGATCTAAGGGTGTGGACAGTAAAATAACTTGGGTTTTTGTGTTTTAAGTAGCAGACTATGGAGAATTGCAAACTCTGTTGTGAGGTTTGTTTTTAATTGAATCATTTTCTGTAAACCATACTCTACTACAAAGTGATTCTTGCAACAAAATCAAATAGTTAGCACCAGGACACACCCTTTTTTTTATAACCTTTTAATAACTGAAAATACCACACGTTTTAGTTTTGCAGGTGGATTTCTTATCTTTTGATAATGCATTTGAAACTTTGATAGCTTAACTGCCTGTGGTCACTATAAACATACACTCATTCTAAATAGATTCTCTCACAAAAAATGCTGCAAGCCTCCACAGGATGGCGCTTAGCATGAATGAGCTACACCATATGGGGAGTGTCTCTCAGGAGGAAGGGGACGGGAGGTGTCCACACACAGCACAGAGTACACCGAGCGTCTCATGGAGGACGGGGAGGAGGGAGAGTCGCTAAGAAGACCAAACTATGTAAAATGCAGCACAATCTGGATGTTTCCTGTTTCCTTTTTGTTTTACAAGTTTTTATTTATGTTTTCTTCACTATGTTTCACTGTAAAAAGTTACAGTAAGACACTGGTATATGTGTCAAATTAAGATTAGCGTTCGTGTTTCTATTCCATTTATATTCTGTTAGTTTAAGACACATATGTATAAATATATATATTATTTTTCTGTTTCTTAATGTTTACCTGTTAATGATTACAGTTTATAGATATACAAACAATATTATTACTAAATTGATTAGTTTATCAAATTGAGATTTCTATCTGTTTTTGTATTTAACTTAAAAATTACTTTTGTAGGACTCTGTTACATGTTGCGTTAAAGCCATATAAATACATATATAGATAAAACATTTGGTATAACATCTGAATGTTTTCAGTTTCAAAGATATCGTGATGTATCATAGATTAAATGTATTGCAATATATCGATTATCGCAGAATCGCTGTATTGTGATACCATTGTTATTTTGGGCAAATATAATCATAGTAAATAATAGCACCTTTCATTGATTCCAGTCACTTTTGGGTTTTTTTCCTTGTTTGGCTTAAAATGTTCAACCCCGCCTCTTTTTTTTTACCAGAAGTATAAACATACATTATGTACTGGTGGTCCACAGGGTCAGTCCATTATTATTTTATTATTTTATTCCATTTCTGTGGTCCAGGAAATGATGAGGTTTCCTCTTTGCAAGGTTCTGTTGTCAAATATGTTAAGAGACAGTGATTTTCTATTGTACTCCTGAACCAATGTGATGTTGTGTATCAATTTAACAAAACTACAGTTTTGTGGATATAACTGGCTAAGAGGAGAGGAGATTTTAATGAGACTTGTTTGCTGCCTTGGGACAAAGTTTAAGGCCAGTGTTCAGCCCAAGCAAGCCGAACCTGCAGATGGTGAAAGTGCTATAGTCGGGCTGGAAAAATAAATCTAAGAAAAACTTCAACATCCTGTGAAATCATTTTTTTGGATGACCAGTAAATCCTGTGTGAAAAGGCGCCTTGCCAAGTATATGTATGATGTAGCTGATGAAGGGCCAGGCTTAGGTGCAGCACAGAGGCATCTGCTGTTAAATGAGGTTGGAAGTGCAAAAGTGGCACACCACTGCCACCATGTGAAACCCCTGTAAGAAAAATGTCAGTCTGCTGTGATTGTTCAACCTCGGCATATTTCAGAGCTAGAACACTTTTTTTCTCTTGCTTGGTGTAACAATAATGACACAGAGAAGTGACCTGTTTGGTTCTCAGATTTATTTTATTGGGAATCTTTTGATGGCACATTTTGCATGAGTTGGTCACATGATGCCGACAAAATAAATCTGGTTACAACATGGTTTTAACTTGGAAGGCAAGGATTGGCAAAACTAATCAGGGAACAGTGTGACAAAAGTGTAAAACAAACACAAACCAGAAAGAAGTCAGATCACAGTTTCAATGTAAACATGTAACAACATACAAATGTATTATTTTTGCACTACCGTAGTAATCAGACTTGCCTAGTGACTTGTTCAGTTTTACCAAGTTGACAATTACACTTTTCTTTCATAGTTTTGACACTCCTCCTTGTTTCCTATTTTTTTGGATGTCAGTGCAGAGATACAACAAACTGCCTTGCTAACGGACCTGGCATTTGAGTGTTAGATGCCATTTTTCTTCTTCAGAAACTCTTGTGGATTCATGTTGAAGTAGTGTGCAGTAGTAAAGACAGCTAGTGATCCGTGAAATACACAATGTTGGCAGTGTAACACAGTAAGGGGTTATTTTTTGGTTTACCATTTATGAAAAGATCTGTTTAGCTTTATAAACCCTTCTGATGAACATTATCAGCAGTATTGCGTAGCACCCTGAATTTCAAAAGTTTCTGAAGATGACGAGGGACTGCTCTCCTTTCTTTAAAACGCTCTCCTGCTGGTGGTGGTTGTGACAGAGGACTTGATGCTGCCACCACCAAAACCACCAGACATGCTGCCACCGTAACCACCGGACATGCCTCCTTTCTTTAAAACGCTCTCCTGCTGCTGCTGCTGCTGGTTGTGACAGAGGACTTGATGCTGCCACCATAACCACCAGACATGCTGCCACCATAACCACCAGACATGCTGCCACCATAACCACCGGACATGCCGCTACTGTAACCGCACCAGACATGCTGCCACCATAACCACCGGACATGCCATATCCACCGCTGGAGCTGGAGACTCCTGCACAAGAACAAGAACGTTTTTCCATCGTATCTAGTTGTACATGTATCAGTGTGATCTGTCTCTTAGCGTGACATAAATAAATAAGGTGTGACACCAACCTGAACTGCTCTGCTGCATGTGGATGGTTGCAGTGGCGCCTCCGCTGGCGATTCTAAGAATGTCATGAAACACAGTTAGTACTTGATTCAAACTAAAATGACCAAACATGACAGCCAGTATTCAGACTACCGCTACTGACCTGCTCTCCTCTCCTTCCAGCAGTTTCCTGTAGGTGGCAATTTCAATGTCCAGAGCCAGCTTAACGTTCATCAGGTCCTGGTACTCGCGCACCTGGCGGGCCATGTCCTGCTTAGCTCTCTGCAGAGCTTCTTCCAGTTCCTTGATGCGGAACCTGGCATCCTTCACTGCCAGCTCACCACGCTCCTCAGCCTCTGCGATTTGAGACTCAAGGTTGTTCCTCTGTTGAATGGGATTATGTTAAAATGAATTATGAGACTCAAGGTTGTTCCTCTGTTGAAGGGGATTATGTTAAAATGAATTAGTGACTGTTATAGAATGAGTTGTTTTATGAAGAAGGACATCTTTTATAAGAGTTCTTCCAATATACCTGTCCCTTAACAGCCTCGATTTCATTCTGGAGACGAGCGATCATGCGGTTAAGCTCAGCAATCTCAGCCTTGGTTGAGCGCAGGTCATCACCATACTGTCCAGCTGAGCTCTGAATCTCCTCGTACTGTTGTATAAAAATATAAAAAATCGTGAATTATGAGGAAAACGAAGAAGGTTCTAGGACTTGTTTCAAGTGCTTTTCAAGTGAAATGTTGAGCTCTACGCTAATCTTACCTTCTGTTTGTACCATGACTCAGCCTCTGCTTTGCTTTTGTTGGCGATTTCTTCATACTGAGCACGCACTTCAGCCACAACGGCGTCCATGTCAAGGCCGCGGCTGTTGTCCATCTCCACAATGACTGATGTGTCTTTGATCTGGCCCTGCAGCTCACGGAGCTCCTACAGAACCAAAAATAGGATAGTTAATTATTTGTCTTTACATTGTTGCGTTTAAAAACTTTTTACTGAATAAAGTATTCAGGGTATTGTGGCACATACAGCCTCATAGACGGCCCTGAGGAAGTTGATTTCATCCTGAAGAGCATCAGCCTTGGCTTCCAGCTCAACCTTGTTCATGTAGGCAGCATCGACATCCTGGCAGGAAAATGTGTCAAAACAGAGAGTGTTATAGCTGACAATATTTTACTTGGAGAACTTCATAATCAGGTGAACAATTTTGATGTACAGTGGCTGTACCTTCTTCAGCAGAACAAACTCATTCTCAGCAGCTGCGCGCTTGTTGATTTCATCCTCGTACCTGTCACAGCACAAGACAGCCTGTAAGAACATTGCCTTTCATCATGATGCTGTTGCTGTTCGACTTATTATTCCAGTACTCACTTCCTCTTGAAGTCTTCAACCAGACCCTGCATGTTCCTCAGTTCACTATCCAGTTTGACTTTCTCGTTGCCCAGCCCATCGAGCTGTCTGCGAAGGTTAGCAATGTAAGCCTCAAACATGCCATCGATGTTGGAGCGCGTGACGGTCTGGTCCTGCAGGAGGCTCCATTTGGTCTCCAGCATCTTGTTCTGTTGCTCCAAGAAACGAACCTGTGCAGAAACAGTTTCAGAAACTGTCACATGCTGCTCTTAAAATCTTTCAATTTTCATTTTATATTTGAAAGTAAATAAATAGAAAATTGCGAGGTGACTTGTTTTGGACTGAACAAAGAGGTTTAAAGGGTGTGGTTGGTCATTTTTGCCGTCTTCAGAATGCCTCACCCTCATATGTATGATTGGATAACTGCATATCTGAATTGCCACACCCTCGTCTTAACAATTACTCTTTATGATATTTCTTTCTGTAAATAATCTTCAAGCTTCTCTAAGTTTGCAGATCTGTGGCCACTTATAATTATTTCTTTATCCTTAATTTAATCACATTTTTTAAAAAAATAACTTTGATCATGTGCATGTGTTTTCCCATTGTATGTCTTGTTGTTTAGCTATGACTCATGCTGCAGGATGTGAAGGCCACACATTCACTCCAGCCATAAAAAAAACTAGGTGTGGCAGATAAACTGCACTAGACAAAGCAGGACAGTATCAAGAGGGCTTTGTTTAAAGAGTTTGGAAGCTTCAACATATAAAAGGTCTCACGGTTAAAAAGTGGCCTTACCGCTTTCATAAAAACAGTGACAGCTGTGTTAAAAATAATGGAAATACACACTTCAAAGACGTTGCATACAGTAATCAGGTGAAATGTGTAAATAACAGACTGGACTCAGTGGGCCTGGTCTGGACCAAATGACACCTGAAGAAAGGCGAAAGTCATGGCAATGTAATCCTAGTAGGAATGGACACTTATGTTGACATATTTTCATATGCTATTTTTTTCTTCTTTCTTAGATGGATGTAAAAGAGAGAGAAATGTGATAGCTATGTTTCAATGGTAGCTTTTACATTTACATTTAAAAAAACCCAACCAGCATGTTAAAAACAGTTGGTCAAATTGTTAATATTTTACACTCTTCAGTGTTGTTTTTTTTTTTCTTTTTTTTGCAGTTGTTTGTTAAAGGAGATGCAAAAGTTTATATTTGACAGCTGTTAGCAGCTACAAGATTTGCATTGTCAACAGTATGATAATGAGGCTAGTGGTCGTATGCACACGAGGAAGTGAGATCTCAAGGAGCCTACCTTGTCGATGAAGGAGGCGAAGCGGTTGTTGAGACCCTTGATCTGCTCCTTCTCCTGGGTGCGGACAGTCTGGATTGTGGGGTCAATCTCCAGGCACAGAGGAGCCAGCAGGCTCTGGTTGACCTGGACAGCTGTGATGGGTGCTCCCATGAAACCACCACCCTGGCCAGCACCAAAACCGAAGCCAGAGCCTGAACCCATACCACCGCCGTATCCACCACCCATACCACCACCCATACCCACCACCCATAACCACCGCCGTATCCACCACCCATACCACCACCCATACCACCACCCATACCACCACCCATACCAGAACCACCACCGATGCTGTAGCTGTAACCACCTCCTGAGCCACCCATTCCAGATCCAACACCATAGCTGGTTCTTCTGACGCTGTAGCTGGAGACTGGAGCCGTTGACCTCCTGCTGGAGGAGCTGTAGCCAGATACGGAGTATGACTTCATTGCATTCATTTTGGCTGAGGTGGGTTGCTGACTCTTGAGTAGAGGAGAGCAGAAGATGAGCAACTTCAAAAGGAGAGCTGAGTCCCTCTGAGTGTCTAACTCCAGAGTCCTGCCTGCTTTTATGCTCGAGCCGAGTCAGGGGGAGGGACCTTCTCAGCCCCTTCAACCTGTACTCTCACTTTTTGCAGTGCAGCCTCACCTCCACCTCAGTGTACACGCCCCTGGTTCTGAATGACATGAGTGGCCGTTCCTGTAGAACAGGTAAGGAGGGATTGTCAGCAGATAAGCGAAGACACACCCTGCAGCAGGACAGGCTCAGGAAGGAGGGAGAGAGTTGTAAGATTCTGTAAGTACGATGATTATATAAGTAGAAAAAGGGCAAGTTATGGCAAAGACAGTAAAGATGAAAAACAAAAACTGCACACATGATATTAGCTCTAAAACGAAAACTTAAAAACTAAAAAATAAATGCACACAGTTTCAATTTTGTCTAAACAATTTAACTTTAAAAACAATATTCACGCTTAACATGTATCCTTATATATAACTTATGTATTATTTAATACAGATTATATTACATTACATAACACAAGTAAAGCACATGAAATTAAGTTTAATATACAACAAGCTAGATGCTGCAAATGCTACTAGCCCATTAATGCATACATGCTAACAAATAAGCCCACTCTGTCATTACACCTAGTTTGAACAAGTAAAGTAATACTTCAGTTTAACACTCTCAGTTTGTCATCTTTCAATGTCCTCTTATAGTAATTATAAAATACACCACACTAATAATATATGATTTTATGCTAATGCTAATGAAGCCTAAACCATTGGTAATTATGCCTATAAACACGAGCACAAACTGTGTTGAGAAAAAAAAGTTCCTTTTTCTCCATCCTACATCTCACAACATGTCTTACCAGCACTTTATTGCTCGAACTAGTTATTCATAGATGAGTTCAGGAATGGGCAGGGGCTGGGTCTGCCTTTAAACTTCTTTTGAGGTGTGAGGACGTCGCTCCACTCCTTCCACTTCCTTCAAATATGCTATTTGCTCTCATTTTAGTGGATTGTGTAACAATCTTTACTTTACAAATCCTTTACTTTCTTTAACAAATGGATAGAAAAAGGCAGCGGTGAATAGTTGTGGCTACAGCTTCTTTTCTTCTTAGCCTGCTTTGGCTAATAACGTTAGCATTCTTTTTTTTTTTTGCTTTTGCTGTGCACACTGCTGACTCATTCATCATAACTGTCACTCTTAAGAATAAAAAAGTACAAAATGTATTTAGCAGGGCGTTAACAAATTATTTCAAATTTTAGATTTTTGCTTTTTTTTAATTATTATTATTTGTATTATTTATTTATGTATGATAATACTGTGGAATCGTAGCGGTTTCAAAATACAAGCACTGCCTTTAAAAACAGGTTCATTAAGACTTTGTCAAACTGCTCTTGACATTCTTCTGCAATTTTGGTAGCACAAAAGCAGCTCCTGTGGATGTTTGGAATGGTAAAGCGAAATAATATGTATGTCGTCGTTGGCCAATTATGTTAGTAGTGGTAAAATAAGAAAAAACCTGAACAGTTGCTGCTTTGAACAATAGTCTCATTTGTTTTTTTGGTTTTGGTAATGAGCCTGGACCAGCAGACCGTCAGCTCACCCACACGACTGCCAACAAGATTTACACCCAATTCTGACAGGGTGCTGTATTACTGTTGGACATAAGGTCGCAATACCTGAGAAAATACCACAAAAGACGTCTAATGAAGTTCCCTTGTCCTGATGCAGACATGACACCAGCATCACAAGGAGGGGAAAGAAATGTAAAGAAGACAAATCGAACTGAATCCCCTCTCATAACCTGGCACATGTTGTGTATTTATGCATGCATAGAAAACACACACTCAGAACTCACTGTCTTCTGGTAAAAAAAAAAACAAAACATGCAGGACCACTCCAAAGATAAATGCTATGAAGGTTATCTAATAAGTGCCTCAGGCCACTGTATGTTTAATTAAAAATCTAATGGAACGACCACTGGAGAAGTTTCATGAATGCTGCCCGATGAATGTCACAGAATGATGCGTTTTAACAACACGTAAACAGAGAACATGAATCAGCGATGCAGGTTAAGGACCCCTGAACTTGTGGTTTGTTTCTCCTTCTCTCTCTCTCTCTCTCTCTCTCTCTCTTTCTTTTTCTCAGTATCTCCTCCACTCTGTGGATACATTTCACCACACCCAGTTGTCCCACAATCAAACAGTGCACTTCTTGTTTCTTTCTTCAAGCCACCTTTGATGTAGGTGAGGCCTGTATTTTCATTCTTTCCATTCTTCACATGCACATGCCTCCAATTTCTACCATGGTGTGGAACTTTACTCTAAAGCTCAAATCTCTGCGGTCCTAAAGCTATTTGTAGAAAACAGCATGGAAATGTCACAATAATGCACGTGATATGAACAAAGTACTGAGGCCTTTAAAATGATATGACCGGAAAGGTGGTAGTTGGGAAGTGGAGGATTCAGCTGGTGTAACCTGACAAAATGGGTGGACACAGCAATCCGGCACGATTTGCTTTGTCTATGCTTGTTTGAAATGTCATCAGTCATGCCCCAGTCACGTCGTGTATTATGTGAAGCAACATACAAACCCTGCAAGAACATATTATATGTCGTGTTGGCACGTGTAGAATGACGGCATGCATGGGATTTTAATAGCTATAAGAATGTGGCTATTAAACAGGTAGTCACAGCAGCATGCAGATGAGGTTTGCAGATGAGGTGTGAATAAATGTTGTTTTGTGTCATTTGCTTCATGAGAACTTGAAAACACCTAATTCTTACCTGGTTAGAACTATGCATCAATTAAATAATTGAACAACAACACACCCATACAGAATGTTTCATCCAAAGAAAGTCACCAACCAGCCTGCAGCATTTTCTCTTCTTTTATTTCAGTTGATTGATCTACTCTACTGAAACTGGCACAGAGCAAAAAAAAAAACTGTTACGCAACTGCTGTCTTTAACAACTGAGTGAATACCTCAGTGAAAGTGTTACCGCCTTAGCGTGTACCACTCACATTCTCTAGTATTTGCTCTTGCACTGCTGCAGAGCGCAGGTTCAGGCTATACATAGCTGTCCAGACGCTGCTGCTATAGTCGACCTACGAACTGCTCTGCAAATAATAATGTCCAATTAAATGCATGCAACTGTATATTAGCATTTAATCAAAAACTAAAATTAAAAAAACAAATAACGATTATAATTCACGTTACAGCTCGGTGACTTAGTGAAGGGTTAGTACTTGCATAATGTTTTTAGAAACTGCACGGTGTGAAAACTGGGCTTGTCAGCTTTTGCAACATCTGCGGTGTCGTTTGGCAAGCTATACCTCTTCCTCCTAAAGATCCAAGAGAGCGGCCAAGAAAACAATGGCTCGGCAATTCAGAGTGTACATTTGTAATGAGCAGACTGTGCAGGGTTGTGTGCACCACTTGTGTGTGAATAAGTGGTGACAAATTTAAGAACAGAGCAGAACAAATGATTGGAGCAATGCTACAAGTGCACCTCTGCACAGATGCGCCGCGCGAGACAATAACTTTACAAAAAGTGTGTTTATTGTCTTACTGTGGTTGGAGACTTAGTCACGGCATTGCTGAACTGACAGGTTATTAAGATGACGATGTGTGGCATCTGGATCACAGCAGGGATGGCAGCGTGTGAGGAACAGTGATAATGTTAAAGTTGCAGCTGCAGCTATGAATGTTGGAGTTTGGGCTTTTCCAGTACAAGGTTTTCACGTTGCACCTCGTATTTAGAAACCTCAGTTACTGTGTGTTCTAGCGGAGGAACTCTCTATGTCGGAGTGGCCAACCAGTTATAGGCTAAGAGCCACAATTTTTTACTGTGTTACCGCAAAGAGCCACATGATATACCTGTGCACATGCAAACTGCCCCATCCCTTAAAAAATAAATTCTTCCACTCTGTTACAAACGTCCTGTCTGCATCTTCATATTTTCCTTTTGCTGTGCATTTTTTCCCATTTTGAGTAAGTTTGTGTGGCCTACACTACTTAATGGTTTTTCCCTCCAAGTCATTTGTGTCAATGCCCATGCGTGTGAGATTCGCTAACATAAAAAACAAGAACACAAAATTTGACATGAACACAAGAGCCACATGAAACCATGGCCAACCCGTGGCTCCCGAGCCATGCCTGCTCTAGGTGCTCATCACTGTAGCCTCTGTTACCCAATAACCCAATATACTGATTTGAAGTTGTACATTTTCCTTGTCGTCTACAAATCCTTAAGTCTCTTTGCTGTTGGGTTCCTGATAGGCCTTCAGATGTGCTGATGTGCTGCTAACGTGTAAAAGGGGGAAGGAGACTGGAATATACAGAAATAAATGTTTTTTTGTCCTATTGAGGAATTTTGATTCTACTTGGATTAATCAAGGTTAATCATGACAACTCAGGATTGTCATCAATCATGATTAATCCACAGCTGCCATGAATCTTTAATCTGATTAAACATTTTAATTTATTGACAGCACTAAACTCAACAACTGTTTCATGCTAGGTGTCTGCATTTCATCCTCTGGACAGTTCGGTCACACCACTTGCATTTATACGAGATAGATATTCAAATCTTTAAATCTTGCTGTGAGTGAACTGCCCCACTGACACTGACATTGAAACAACACTGATGAATCGTTCATCTATTTACTCTTTAGGCAGGTCTATTTTCTTAATTCAGGGCAACATAGATGAACAGCATATCTCAAGACTAACGTCTACATCCAAACAAAGGCTCCTATATAAACTCGCTGATTGACTGGGTCATTTCGACATGTCAGCTTGCTTTAGGGCCTGGGTTGGGCTTGAACTATAAACACATGACAGGTTTCACTGGGAACAAGACAGACCAAGAATTTGAAGGTTGTGAGTTAAGGCTCTGGATACTTGAACCTGTAGAACAACTCCAAAATGGGAAATTCACTTAGTGGAAAGTTGTCATTGTGACCTCCGCTTTTAACCCATCACAAAAGTGAACAGTGGGCAGTTTTAAGCTGTCATATCAGTGGTAACTTGGCA